ATACCGCTTTTCTGGGTTCTTTGAGATGTGAGTTCCAGTGCCAGAGTCCTTGGAACTACTAGGCTGATAGCCAGCCCCTCAGAAGTACTGGTAGCAACCTGGGGTTTGTACCTGGCATTTAGGTGTGGTAGAGCCCCAGCCTGGAGAAGTCTGCCCTAACGATAGCCCACCCACACCCCTGTAGGTTACTAGGGAGCTGGAGAGTCATTAGCAGGAGAAAGTCACAGGAATTATGGGTAAAAATTTAACTGTCAACCTGAAGAGCCCCAATTGCTGGTCAGAATATTCACAGCTGGCCCATCTGCAACCAGGCCATTGTCTCTTGAGTATGTCTGGTGACCCAGAGAGCCTCTAGTACTCCCCCCAGCCCCGCGCCAAGTCCCTCCCTGTCCCCACCACATCCTGAATTTCCGGAAGGCCCACACACCTCCGTGGCCAGTTATAGCCAGAGAACCCTGTGACCTGGCTTTTCACCCCACTCCTTTTAGTCCTCTCCGTGGGGTTTGACTTGATGGCTCCCACAGAAGACCTCCGGATAGATAAAGTCTTGGTTCCCTTTCACATCGGTCTGCACAGGGCCGTGGGGCCGTGTGGGGGCCATGTCCACAGCAACCCCTCTGCCTCTGAGGAGTCTGATCTCCTCTACCTGGCTTCTGCCTTCCTCACCGTTGCTGTGGAGGGAGATACTCTGGCTGCCTGCTTCCCCTTGCACTGTGTGTGGGTGCTGCTGTGTGAATGCACCCAGGACTCCCTGACTCCCGCCCACATTGACGCTGGATCCTCCTCTCCTCAGGCCTCCAGGACTGTGTATGCTGCTCTGGGCCAACAGGCTTTCACCATGAAGACGAAGAAGCCTCTCTGCGCCCACTCTCTGGTTGGGGTCTGCATCCTCATCTGCTTTATAACCGCTATCATTCTGGGTCATGTCATGCTCCATGACTTAATGATGCTTCCCCAAGACTTTCCTGCGTCCTCTTCAGGACTGGAAGATACTTTTAGGCCTCAACATTGGAAGGGTTACGGGCCACGGCCCCAGCACACCCAGGAGCACCCTGTGCAGCCTGCAGCAGTGCCCACGAAGTGTGATGTGCCCCCCAACAGCCGCTTTGACTGTGCTCCAGACAAGGGCATCTCCCGGGAGGAGTGTGAGGCCCGTGGCTGCTGCTATGTCCCAGCCGGGCAAATGCTAAAGGCGCCGCTGATGGGGCAGCCCTGGTGTTTCTTCCCTCCCAGTTACCCAAGCTACAGGCTAGAGAATTTGAACTCCACAGAGACGGGGTACACAGCCACCCTGACCCGTACCAGCCCGACCTTCTTCCCAAAGGATGTGCTGAGCTTACAGCTGGATGTGCTGATGGAGACCGAGAGCCGCCTCCACTTCATGGTGGGTGTGGGCACGGTAGACCCTGGCTAGAGCTGGGTCACCAGGAAGGCCCGTGACAGGACAGCCCGTGCAGAAGGATGGGCCATGCAGAGCAGAGGATAGGTGTGCGGGCGGGTGACACATTTTCCCAGGGATATGTGTGGTAGGACAGAGTGGTTATAGGAGGCCTGGGCACAGGTGGGATGTTCCAGGCGGTGACTTCAGGACTGGTCACTGCAGACAGCAGGAATTGTCATCTGCCCCATTCCCTGTCGTCCCCTGGCAGTACCCACATCACCCTGTGTCTCTGGAGGATGATTCTGTGTTTTTATTTTTTTTAATTTATTTATTTGTTTATTTATTAAAGATTTCTGTCTCTTCCCCACTGCCGCCTCCCCTTTCCCTCCCTGATTCTGTGTCTTTAGTATAACGCAGACCTGCGTGATGCTGGGGCCATCCTTAGGCCACAAACTGTGGGAGCTGGGGATATGGGTAAAGTGCTTGCTGGACAAGCGTGAGGAGCTTGGACCCCGGCACCTGGGTAGAAGGTCAGGCGTGGAACATACACCTGTAGCCCCAGCACTGGGGGTGGGGCAGACAAGCAGATCCTGGAGAGCTCTGGCCGCCAGCCTAGCCAGGTCGGAGAGTGAGCAGACAAACACCTTACCTCTACTTCACACACACACACACACACACACACACACACACACACACACAAAAATAAATATAAAAAATTAACTATTTGTGGGGCCTGGTGCATAGCTCATTGGTAGCGCATGGCCTTGGTATGCCTTTTTTTTTTTTTTTTTAAAAAAAACTTGCTGTGCTTGTAATTGCGGCATTTAGGAGGCTGTAGCAAGAGGATCTCAGTGAGTTAAATGTCAGCCTCGGCTTCATAGTGTAGCCAGGCTGGCCTGGCCTCCAGTGAGAACTAGCCTCAAAATGTAATAAATTAATTAAAAGCAAGGGGAAAAAAGAACAAACACAAAACTATTCACTGTCTATGTGGTGTCCGGGTTTAGTCAATGCTCTGCCTTTGGCAACCTCAGGGAGGCCTCCTTCCCGCCAGTTATGTAGCTGAGGGAACTAAGGCCCATGGCTACACACAGTGTGCAGTTACTCTGGGGGGAAGGGGGGGCTGAACTGACCGACTGTTCGGAACCATGTCTCCTGGAGGTGTCAAGGGGCTGTGGTGAGGGAAGGGGCCCCTGGCTCTTGAAGGGCTCTGGGCACCTCTCTCTTCTCTCCTAGATCAAAGACCCTGCTAATAAGCGCTACGAAGTGCCCATGGAGACCCCGCGTGTCCTGAGCCAGGCATCGTCCCCCCTCTATACTGTGGAGTTCTCAGAGGAGCCCTTCGGAGTGATTGTCCGCAGGAAGCTAAATGGCCGGGTGCTGTAAGTGGGGGTGCCTGGAACTTTGACCCTACCCTAGGGTTAACAGGGACATGGTGGCCCCTCGGAGGTCAGAACTTCCAACCCTGGACCACCAGCCCCAGGGGGTGGTACCACCCACAGTATGCTGGGCCCTCTCCCATCCATCAATCAAGAAAATGCCGCCACAGGGTTGTTTGCAGGCCAATCTGATAGAAGGATTTATTTCCTCAATCGAAAGTGCCTCTTCCCAGATGATCCTAACTTGTATCAAGTTGACAAAACCCAACCCTCACCCCTCCCTGCATGTGGACCACCAGGCACGTATCAGTGGCCTACTGTTGAGTGCTCACCAAGGTCTCGGCTTGGTGCTTCTACATTGGATCTGAGAGGTTCCCTCCATGGCTTCCCAGGGAGGCCTCATGCCCCCAGGAGATACAAGGGGTGTGTGGAGATGACATCATTGCTACAACAGCAGTGTTTGGCACCTGTGCTATCCGAGATGACCCACCACAGAGGATGATCCATCCACCCAGTGGTACTAGGGAAAGACCCGATCCAGTCCACAGTGGTACCCCCTGCAGGTGGTGCACCTAGTGGCCTTACTTTTATTTATCAGATACACATCTCTTACCGTGAGCTTTATTATAACTCACTATCTAGGGTTCATGTCTCCCTGACAGGACCTCATGTTTGTACTACTGGGCCCTTCTGAGCGTGCCTGCGCTGGCTTTTCCCACTGTTTGCAGGTGTTCTGGTTTTTATATAGCCATTGTCCCAGGGTTGGCCTGATGCAGAGCTGGTGAGGTTGCTCGGTCCCTCTCCAACCCTTCCCTGATGGATCCACCATCCTGGATTTGTGTGGCCTGGGGTCGATCCAAGGGAGCCTAATGTCTCCCCACAGGCTGAACACTACCGTGGCCCCCCTGTTCTTCGCTGACCAGTTCCTGCAGCTGTCCACGTCATTGCCCTCCCAGCACATCACAGGCCTCGCTGAGCACCTCAGCCCGCTCATGCTCAGCACCGAATGGACGCGGGTCACCCTCTGGAACCGGGACCTGGCACCCTTGGTAAGAGATGAGCCGAGGTGGGAAGGTGGAGGCTAGGGTCCTGGGTGCGAGGTGCTGTCTCTTGTCATTCCAGCCAGGTGCCAACCTCTACGGGTCACACCCATTCTACCTGGCGCTGGAGGACGGTGGCTTGGCTCATGGTGTCTTCCTGCTGAACAGCAATGCCATGGGTGAGTCTCCAGACTGAAGCTCCTAGGTAATCCTTCAGTGGGAGAGCTTGAGGCTCTGCCTGCCTCGGAGTCTGCTTGTCTCAAGGGACCTTATGTGGAGAGAGTCCAGTGGGCAGAGTCCTCATCCTGCTCACTCCCCACCCCCACCTAAGGAGGAGGTGTGGGGGATTCCCCAGGCTCATCTACTCCATGTCCTTCAGGCCTTGCTAAATTGGGCTCAGAACAGCTGCCCCACTCCCGCCCTGCGGGCAGCTCCCAGCCTTCATATCGGAAGAAACACACTCTGTAGATGCAGGTTGGCCTGTCTGTGGGGGACTCGTTCCCGAATCTAAGTCACTTTCTTCCAGATGTGGTCCTGCAGCCCAGCCCGGCCCTAACCTGGAGGTCAACAGGTGGGATCTTGGATGTGTACGTGTTCCTGGGCCCAGAGCCCAAGAGCGTTGTGCGGCAGTACCAGGATGTTGTGGGTAGGGCCTGCTCTCTGTCCACTGATCTCAGACCCCTAGGCCCTGACCCTTTCCCCCAGTCCCTGCTCACTTGCGGTCCTGGCCAGCAGGTTACCCCTTCATGCCGCCGTACTGGGGCCTGGGTTTCCACCTCTGCCGCTGGGGCTACTCCTCCACTGCCATCATCCGCGAGGTGGTGGAGAACATGACCAGAGCACACTTCCCCCTGGTGAGTGGGAGTCAGGGCGGGGCAGCCCCAGCTTCTGGACTGCTAGGCCCCATCTCAGCCTCAGCTCCCATCCTGTGCCGCAGGATGTGCAGTGGAACGACCTGGACTACATGGACGCCCGCAGGGACTTCACCTTCAACCAGGATGGCTTTGCAGACTTCCCAGACATGGTGCGCGAGCTCCACGAGGGTGGCCGGCGGTACATGATGATCGTGGTAAGCTGAACGCAGCCAGTGTGCTTTCTCTGTGGCTTCTTCCTCCTAGCCAGTGCTTGCCTTGGGCATTCTCTGAGTCTTTGATGTTGAAGAAATGTCTAGAGAGCTGCAGGCTTAGTGTCTTCTAGCCAGGTTCCTGGAAGCACCTGTATGCCCCGGGAAAGATGGCTCCGCATTTAAGAGCACGCTGTTCTTGAAGAGGACAGTTCAGTGCCTGGTACCATGTCAGTCAGCTCATAACTGCCTGTAGTTTCAGCTCCAGGGAACTGACAGTTTCTTCTAGACACACACACACAGTCTTAGTTAGGGTTTACTATTGCTGTGAAGAGTAACCATGACCATGAAAACTCTTATAAAGAAAACATTTGGGGCTGGAAAGATAGCTCAGTGGTTAAGAGCACTGCCTGCTCATCCAAAGGTCCTGAGTTCAATTCCCAGCAACTTCCTCACAACCATCAGTAATGAGATCTGGTGTCCATGCAGGCAGAACATTGTATACATAATAAATAATAAATCTTTTTTTTCTTTTTATTTTCGAGACAGGGTTTCTCCGCAGCTTTTTGGTTCCTGTCCTGGAACTAGCTCTTGTAGACCAGGCTGGCCTCAAACTCACAGAGATCCACCTGCCTCTGCCTCCCGAGTGCTGGGATTAAAGGCGTGTGCCACCACCACCCGGCTATATAAATCTTTAAAAGAAAATAAAACATTTAACTGAGGGTCACTTGCTTACAGTTTCAGAGGTTCAGTCTGCCATGACAGGGAGCATGGCGGCATGCAGGTGGGCATGCTGCTGGAGAAATAGCCAAGTGTCCTACATGTTGCAGGCAACAGGAATTTGACAGACTCCCTGGGCAGTATTCTGAGTATATGAAACCTCAAAGCCCATCCCCACAGTGACACACGTCCTCCAACAAAGCTACACTTCATGATAGTGCTGCTCCCTATGAGATTACAGGATCATGGGGCCAGTTACAGTCAAACTACCACACACACAATTAAAAATAAGAATAAATTCCAGTTACAGTCAAACTACCACACACACAATTAAAAATAAGAATAAATTGGACATGTGGCACACACTTTTAATCCCAGCACTCGGGAGGCAGAGGAAGGCACATACCTGAGTTTGAGGCCAACCTGGTCTACAGAGTGAGTTCTACACAAAGAAACCCTGTCTTAAAGAACAAAACAGCCCCAGGAAGCAAAAATAAAATAAAAATAAAAGACGCAAGCAGTAAACATTTGTCTTGCACAGGAGGATCAGGAATCCAGACTCACACCTCCAGTTCCCAGTCAGCTCTTCAGCCTGGCCAACTGTGTGCCGTTTTCACGTACCATCGCTAACTTGGGGTGGGCAGCCTCCAGCCAGCACCAGGATATACAAAAAAATCCATGAATGTAGCAAGTGATTAGGAAAAATTCTTACCTGTCTGAGGGCTAGACTTTCTATCTGAGGGGAAAAATAAGCAAACACACACACTTTCTGATGGTGATTTTCCCTTTTTCTTCATCTTACAAATGCTCTCTGAAAATCTCTCTTGCTCCTCGACATAGCTGTCCCTACCCAGCTGCCTGAATAGCTCTGCACAGCCCATCTCTTAACAGTGCTCCCTTCCTCCCACCACCTTCTCCACAGCTCTCCATAGCCTCTCCTGGAGAGCCTTACACGGCGTTTCCTCACAGCCAAACTGTGGACAGTTATGTTACATTATCAGGGTCCAACCCATTCTCATAACACAATATTTCTCAGACTAGGGAGGTCACATTGACCAGCCGGTGAGTAATGCCTGGCCATGCACATAGCCTAAATGGTTAGGGTTTACAGGGTTCCCAGACAGAAAATAACCTTGAGCCTGTGACATAAACTGAGGCTGGGACTATGTGCAAAATGTCAATTACTAAGAATGTTATGTCTGCCAAAGTTGCTTCCCCCTCTGACCTTGAATCAGCAATAAACACCTGGGGAAAATGACCTCATGTATTTGTCTCTAGGGGCAACCAGATATTTCGTCTCCAAGGGCAACCAGTTTGACTTGAATTTGTCCTGAAGTCTAAAATTAGCTGACTTGGTGACTGAGAATGCTATTACTTTCTTATGTCAGTCTGAGTAGTGAAGAATTTCCTAGTCTTATTTCTATTCATCAGAATTATACAGTTAAGGAGAAATCATCTTCCTGGCCATCCACAGCTATATGTGTGCCCAGTAGATGGAATATTTTCACAAGATAAACACACAGCAGAGGGAAAACAAAACAAAACAAACTGGTTTCCCTTCTTCCAGTAGCTCATGCTGAACCCTTCTCACTGCCGGCTTCTTTCCCCAGGACCCTGCCATCAGCAGTTCAGGCCCTCCTGGGAGTTACCGGCCCTATGACGAGGGTCTTCGGAGGGGCGTGTTCATCACCAATGAGACTGGGCAGCCACTGATTGGGAAGGTAGTGTGGGAGAAGGGGAGATGGGGACTGTGGGCAGGGGACAGAGCGGCTGTCCAGGGGAAGAGTCAGATTCAGAAGCCACCACGTCGAGTGGGACAGAGGGAAGCGGGGTCCTCACTGCGGGTGGCCATAACTCCTGACAGATACCTGGGATTTCCAAAGTATGAGGGGTGATCTTGGGCATGAGCAGCTGGGCCCAGCTCAAGCTTAGCAGATCTTTCATGAGGCCTTGGGGGTCTCCCTTGTCCTTCTTGTCCCTGGGGGCCTTCTGGGAGTTCTGAGTCCCAACCTCCCCATCCTCAGGTGTCCCTAGCTATGGGAAGGGCAGGCTTGGGTGTGTCCAGTGAGGGGCCTCCAATGGGGTTGTCTCAACTTTTTCCCAATGCTCTGGGTCCATGCTTCCTCTGCCCCATGACTGTGTGTAGGGATGGTCCTTGCTGTCCCAAGGCTGAAGCCCTCCAAGACTCTAGATATTGTGGGAGAGGCTTCTTTGTTGTGGGCTTGAGGTTTGAGATGTGTGTCAGCATTGGCCAAGCATGAAGCTGCTGCTCCACCCAAGGCTAAGGCCTGATAGTGCCGTGGTACAGGGTCTGCATGGGACCGGTTCTCCCCTCTGGTCTTTTGTTCAGGTATGGCCTGGATCCACAGCCTTCCCCGATTTCACCAACCCTGAGACCCTTGACTGGTGGCAGGACATGGTCTCTGAGTTCCATGCCCAGGTGCCCTTTGATGGAATGTGGATTGTAAGTATACCCCTGCCCCTGGGTACACCCCTAGTCTCTGAGGACCAACCCAGTACTACATCTTAGGCCTCTTACAGGACATGAATGAACCATCCAACTTCATTAGAGGCTCTCAGCAAGGCTGCCCTGACAATGAACTGGAGAACCCACCCTATGTGCCCGGTGAGCCCCGCTTGTCTGTCTGGAGTGGGGACAGTGCTAGAGTTAGTGGCTTTGACCAGGGAGTGCCCCTTTGAGGTTTAGAGCATGCAGAGCTCTTGGTTTGGGCAAACAGAAGGCAGACAGAGCACCCAGCAGGACAAAGAGGAGAGAAACCCGAAGCATGAGGTCCTGTGGAGAGTGACATAGCCAAGGCCACACACCATGTAGCCAGAGCCCTAGGGGAAGGGATTTGGGCTCAGATGGGCAGATGCTGGGGATAAAGCAAGAGGAGGTCGATATGGAGGCGATGGGTTTGCAGAGGGTCATCTTTAGGATAGCAGAGGTGACTTGCCCCGAGCATCATGGGGCAAGTGGGCTCTGTCCATCTGAGCAGAGAACATGGGCAAAGGAGAGCACTTGGAGCCCAGGAAACTGGTAAACCAGTCTAAACTAGTCATCCTCTTGCCCAGGGGTGGTTGGTGGGACCTTGCAGGCAGCTACGATCTGTGCCTCGAGCCGCCAGTTCCTCTCCACACACTACAACCTCCACAACCTGTACGGCTTGACTGAAGCCATCGCCTCCAACAGGTGAGGCTCAGCCCTGTGCAGCCAACCAGCCTGCCCAGCACGCACAGCGGGGGCTGAGAGGGGAGCTGGCTCCCATCAGGGTCGTAGACGGAAGGGAAAGAGGCACCCAGACCACCCATGGGCCTGCAATGCAAGCACGCTCCTGCCCAACTGGTCACTGCGCTCCACTCCAGTTTGGAGCCAGCCTCTCTCCACAGGGCATCCTAGGTGTTATGTGGGTAGGGAATGGCATCTAAGGGACTGCATGAGTCCAGCAAGGCTCAGAGTGAGGCTCACCTCTAGAGGACACCAGAGTCACTGGGACGGGGCTGACTGCCAAGCATACGTTGGTGGTGGCCTCTCTTCCCCATCCATTCTGTCCTTCTCCTTAACGATAGTCCCTTCTAGCCCTGGTCCCCTTGCCCCTGACCCCTGGAGCCCTGGCTGTGTCAGGTGAGCCCAGCTCTCTGTTCCCACCCCACTCAGGGCCCTAGTGAAGACCCGGGGGACCCGACCCTTTGTGATCTCCCGCTCAACCTTCGCTGGCCATGGCCGATATGCTGGCCACTGGACGGGGGATGTGTGGAGCACCTGGGAGCATCTTTCCAACTCTGTGCCAGGTGAGTCAGTCCAAGCTGCCTGGAGGGCACTGCGTTCTGGGCTCGGCCAAGTAAGGTCACAGCGTGCCTCTCAGCACACTGGGCTCTGTCTACTCTGCTGGGCCCAGGCAGAAAGCACAGAGGCAATGGGTTCTTGATGGATGGTGAGGCCTGGCTGTCCAACTGCTGTCTTGGTGACCTGGTACCACTCTGGCTCTGCCCTCTCAGAAATCCTGCAGTTTAACCTGCTAGGCGTGCCCCTGGTGGGGGCGGACATCTGCGGCTTCCTGGGGAACACATCAGAGGAGCTGTGTGTGCGCTGGACCCAGTTGGGGGCCTTCTACCCCTTCATGCGGAACCACAACGACCTCAATAGCATGGTAGGAGGGGGTGACGGGGGTTCCTACCCGCCAAGACCCTGTCCTGCCCAATCCCACCGCTGCTGGAGGAGCCCAGTCTATGCTGTCCTGTCCACGCAGGATGGCCAAGGAGCTGGAGATTCTTGGGGTGGACATTCTGTAGAGCCCTGGCCTAGGAGCCCAGAGACCTCCTGGTCTACTGTGCTTTCTGTTGCTGTGATAGACACCATGGACAAAAGCAGCTTGGGGAAGAAAGGGTTTATCTTTCGGTCTTACATTCCTTCATGAAGGGCAGTCAGGGCAGGAACTGAAGGCTTTTAATACAACCCAGGGGCGCCTACCCAGGCGGACTGGGCCCTCCCACATCAATTGTTAAGTAAGAAACCGCCCCCGCCACTTGCCTGCAGGCCAGTAAAGTGGAGGCGTTTTCTCAGTTGAGGTTCCCTCTTCCCAGATGATGCCAGCTTGTGTTGAGTTGATGGACAGCTAACCAGCACACCTCCTTTTCCCTCTCTGCCCACACAGCCTCAGGAGCCATACAGGTTCAGCGAGACCGCACAGCAGGCTATGAGGAAGGCCTTTACCTTGCGCTATGCGCTTTTGCCCTTCCTGTACACTCTGTTCCATGGAGCCCACGTCAGAGGGGACACAGTGGCCCGGCCTCTCTTCCTGGAGTGAGTCACCTGGGTCAGGGAATGACAGTTCACATGTGTCCCTGGGGGGCTGATGCCAGGGAACCTCCTCCTGCTATGGGCTGTGTTCAGAACCCAGGCAGGCTGCAGCTGAGTGTGCCCAGAGTGTCCCTGTACCCTGAGGCCTCCTAGACTCCAGCTCGGAGCCAGGATATCTGGAGTACGGACCAGGCTTGCTGGCTGACAAAGCCATGATGAAATTGTCATGGTGATCCATTTTGGGGGTGGCTTCAGGGAGGAGGACAAGCCAGAGATGCCCCATCTATGTCCCCAGACTGGACTCTGCTCACATAGGCATGACTTGTGACCTCTCCAGTGGGCAGATAGCAGAAGGTTCTTGGGTAGAAAGGCAAGTGGCTTGCTCTAGAGGAGTCAGCCTCTTCCTTGCCGCACACAGATACGTTCCAGATGGACTAGGTGACTAAACACAACTGCTTAGGCTGGGGATTGGTTCAACTGGGAAAGTGCTTGTTTTACAAACACGAGGATTCAGGTTTCATCCCCAGTGTTCATGTTTAAAAAGCTGGGCATGTAGTATACAGTCTGGTGGTATACCCTTAATCCCAGCGTTCAGGAGAGGATAGCCAGGGCTGCACAGAGAAACCCTGTCTTGAAAAACCAAAAATAAATAAATGGAAGGAAGGAAGAAAAAAAGAAAGAAAAAGAATTGTTCTGGACTCTGGCACAGACACAACTCTGGCTCCTGAAGTTTCAAAGTTTCTCGGGGACTGGGTTTCCGATTGTCCCTGCAGCCAGACAGCTGGTGCCAGAGCCCAGTCTCCAGGCCCTCATGCCTGTCTCTTCTGTGAAGGTTCCCTGAGGATCCCAGCACCTGGTCTGTGGACCGCCAGCTCTTGTGGGGGTCAGCTCTGCTCATCACACCTGTGCTGGAGCCTGGGAAAACTGAAGTGACTGGCTACTTCCCTGAGGGCGTGTGGTACAACCTGCAGATGGTGAGTCCTGAGGTCCCTCATCCACAGAAGTGATAGGTCATCACAGGGTGGCCATGCCTTGCTGGCCTGTCAGTCACAGTAAAGGGAGGTTTACCTGCTTCTGGAGTCCCAGCTGCCTGCTGGTCCATCCCTGGGTGCCGTGTATCAGCTCTTTGCCGTAACCCCCGCCTCTAGATAAGGAAGTGCAGGCTGAAGGGGGTAGCTTCCAGGGCCCCACAGCATCGAAGCCCAGCTAAGCCAGGCATTCCCTGCTCAGTCCTACAGAGTCCACCCCTGAGGTCACAACCAGTTTGTCTCAACGTGACCTTTGGACCACCACATATAGCCTTAGGAGACAGGAGAACATGGATCCAAGAACCAGCCTGGTAGCTTGGGTGCTGCCCCGGACCTTTCTGATGTGACCCCTTCTTCCAGGTGCCGGTGGAGGTTCTCGGCAGCCTCCCATCTCCTCCACCATCTCCTCCATCATCCCCCAGATCTGCTGTCCACAGCAAGGGGCAGTGGTTGAAGCTCGAAGCCCCACTGGATACCATCAATGTGCACCTGAGGGCAGGATACATCCTACCGCTGCAGGTACCCAGATCCAGCAGCCCCAGGGCCTTGGGCAGGACTGGGAGGGACTTTTACTTCAGGAGCGAGGCAGGGAGCAGGCACAGGGCATAGTATAAAGCCCTGGCAGTATATAAAGCTTTATGGAGGCACCGACAGGACTTGGCCAGGGCAGTCGCCTGACATCCTGGGTTCAACACCTGGCCAAGGTAGTCATCATAGATGTCCTGGGAGTCCCCAAGGTCCAAGGTGTGACATGTGCCCACCCTCTTCCCAGGGTCCCAGCCTCACAACCACGGAATCCCGAAAGCAGCCCATGGCCCTGGTCGTGGCTTTAACAGCAAGCGGCGAGGCCCGTGGGGAGCTGTACTGGGACGATGGGGAGAGCCTTGGGGTTCTGGAGCAGGGGGCCTACGCACTGATCACCTTCTTGGCCAAGAATGTGAGTAATGGCTGACAGGTAGAAACATGGGGGTGGGTTGTCCTGATCTGGTGGAGGGAGGCCGGGTCTGGGCCAGAGAACCCAGTGGCCACCATCCCTGGGTCGGCATGTCTCTCATGTCGGCACACAGGAGGCTGGCCTGTGAGTTCCTGTTCTGGTGGTGGGCTCACTCTCACAGTCTGACACATTTTTTTTCTCTCCCCATTACCAGAATACCATTGTGAATGAGTTAGTGCACATGACCAAGGAGGGGACTGACCTACAGCTGAAGGAGGTGGCCGTCTTGGGAGTGACCACAGCCCCTACACAAGTCCTTTCCAATGGGGTCCCTGTCTCTAATTTCACCTACAGCCCTGACAGCAAGGTAAGAGCGCAGGCTGGAGGCTGGGGTTCCTGTGCCCTGGTGGGCATGGGAGAAGGGGTGCTAAGGACCCCAGGGACTCATGTGGTCCAGCTATCCTGAGACACACTTTTGGGAGACCCCTCGCCATTTCTGCCTTGGAGTGCGGAGGTGATGGAGGCTGGGCTGCTAGACAGAAGCTTGTTCCCAGTGGAATCAGGTGCTAATTCTGAGGCGCTGGTGCCTCTCTGTGGTGGAGAGGGGGGCATGGCTGTGGGTGGGAACCACTTGGAGCTCAACCTCTTTTCTGTCTTCCAGACCCTGGCTATCCCCGTCTCGCTGCTCATGGGAGAACAGTTTCAGATTAATTGGTCCTAGGAGACCACACCTGTGTTTACTGAGGACCTGAGTCCTGTGTGTTTTTTCCTGCCGTGTTGCTGCTGCTGCCCGTGAGGTACCATGTTAGGAAAGGACTGAGGCTTGCTAACCTGTCTGTCCCAGCTGTCCATCCCTGGCACTAGATAATGTGAAGTACATTTTACCTACGCCAACATCAGGCCATGCGGCCACTGCAACTGGGACCCTACCGAGAGACAGAGTTGGTGATGTCATCGGGCTCACAGAGCTTGAGAAACTTACTGTGAAGTGCACTTATTTAAATAAAAAGGGACATTTGGAACCAGCCCTCACATCACCTCATGTCTTCATGTGACCCTCATGTCTCCACATCCCCAGCCACGCTCCATCCCATTACCTCAGGTTTGCCTTCTCCCATCCTAGCACTCCTGCCTGAGTTAGCAAGGCTGGCTGGTCAGCAAGGTGGCGGTGGAGACGGGGGGCCTAAGATCTTGGCCCAGGCTCCCTAACAAGCCTGGAGCTAAGTAAAGGTTTGTCTGTTATGAACTCATATGTGACACTTGTGCCAAATTTGTCACCAGGGTTGATGGGCTAAGGGGTCAGCAGCCCAGCCTACTTTTATCTCCAGAAATACAAGAACCAAAAGTGTGGGGACTCTGGAGTCCCTTCTAGCTGGGTCACTGCCAGCTGGGAGCCTCTAGGCACTTGGCTCCCAGCAGGGAATGGGAGAGAAGGGCAGTAATTGCCACAGATTCTGCCCCATCTCTCCTCTCTGCCTTTGGGTTCTAGAAAGCAGAGGCACCTGATGGACTCCGGTGGCGGTGAGCCTCTCTGCCTATGATTGGAAGGTGTTTTTTCTACCACATGGAGGGGCTGACAGGCGAAGGCAGGGTCCCCAAGTGTAGAAAGCAGAAGGGGAGTAGCAAAGGGAACCAGTGCCTCCCACCAGACAGCTCCTGCAACCCAAATGCACAGGCATGTTGCCCCTGGATTCCTGCCAGCCCTCACCCAAGTGGCTGTCGGCCCCTCTTAAGCACACCTTGGCTACTTAGCCTGTCCCGAGTCCTGGATGAGGAGCTTTTCTTGGAGGGACAGGGTAGAAGTGACGAGTGGGGCTGGTCCCATTGGCTGAGACCTGAGGTCTGCTCAGTGGCCCACACTGTATATTCACAGCGAGACATGGGCAGTGCTTGGCTAAGGTAGCTTCAGCAATCCGTCTAAGCCAGGGGCCTCTGCACGGCCTCCTTTCCCCTCCCAGCTGCTGTATGAGTTAATGTCAGTGGCCCCTTTCCTTGGCTGCAGAGGGGCAGCTTGAGATGAGCGATAAACCTTAACCTGTCAGAGAAGCGGTCAGAAGGTGAGTTCGTCTGTCATTCAGCATCCGACCCATCCATGTGGTGTGGACTGTCCTTGACTGTTGTGTGGTTTCCTATCGTCCCATTCCAACATTACTTCCTAGAGGGAAGTTCATTAAGGTTCCAGAAATTCCTGAAACACAAGGTTCACAGGGCCTCCCCAAAAGCTGTGTAGCAGATAGGAAACCGTCCAAGCTGCTGAGTTGGCTTCCAGTCTGTAGTCCAGGGATATTGCTCTCTGCATGCTGGGTGGCTTCTATGTAATGCCGCTGCCTTCAAGTCTTCTGTCGGTAACCCCAATAAACTTGCTGCTGCGCTGAGCTAGACTTGGTGGAGCTGTCTATCAATGCTGCCTTGTGGGGGCGGGGTTTGCTCACACAGGGCCGGGACATAGTGCTGTGAAGTCTGACACAACTATTCCAGTCCACGTGGTGGACAAACCCAGAGGGTGATGTGGGAGGAATGGTTTTTGCTGTGGTGCTCCCTGTCCCAGCAGCAGGGAGGGGCTTGTCGGCAGATCCCACACACAGCAGTTCCCTTTAGCCCTCCATCAATCACACCTGCAGTTTCAGGACAGGAAGCACATGGACTAGGGAGGGAACGACACACGCCTAGCCAGCATCAGCCCCATCAACCCGGCACCAACCCAACGAGACGCCAGGTGACAGCCAGATTACCCTCACACTCCAGGCCGCACTCACAACAGCCTGACTTTAGCAAGTGTGGAGAGCGTGTGGCGGGACCCACCGTGATTCTCACCCATGTCTTCTCCAGCAATCCTCCGTTCAAATCTTCCCCTGATTTTGAGCTGGTCAGTCTAACCTTATACAAAGCGCATTTCTGTAACCAGCACAACGTGGTGGTGGTGGCTTCAAATAGCACAAATCAAGATTGCCACGTACAGATATGGGCTGCTGGCAGACTCGGCTACAAATTAAGGGGTCCCATCATCTGCAGTCACCCCTCATCTTCAAGGCTCCAAGGCTGGGGCTGTCTTGAGCACATGCACTCAGGTGAGAGGGTAGGTAACCACAGGGTGACCTGGCTGAGCTAAGACACATCAGCAGGGTCCGGTTCCCGGTCATGTGACTACTCTAGCATCCACAACTTAACCACCAGGAGCTCCAAGAGGCCACGCCTCCCGCTGCCTCCCAGCCTGGGCTTCACTCTTCTATGCTGGTGCCATCTGAAGAGGTCCACCCCGACAAGTCCGTGCCAGATCTTTTGCTATCATCTTAAAGAAACGTTTGCAAATCTGAAGTCACTAGTTCCCTTTCGCTTCTACTATGGGTTTTCTCGTCTGACTCTTAAACGTCTCAAGGTGGATTCTGTACATAATGTGGAGTTAGGGAGAGAAATGGCCAGACCAGGAAAGCTGGTGACACCACAAGAAATCTACACTCAAGTTCATGGGAAAATTTCCATGTTTAATGAAAAAGGCTCAAAGCATTGGACTATTTACATGTGGGTTAGAAAAGATGGCAGCGCCCAAGGGTCTTCCTGCGGGGCTGTGAGAAGACAGTTCATTTAAACCCCATTAAATAGAGGCTTCCTGTTTGCAAGGAGGAGCTCACAAGAGGCGCCATATCCAGGCCCTTGACACACGAGCACCAGCTTCAGATCAGGTCAGCCACTGAAGGAGAAGAAAGGTGCGTTAACAATGCCACACGTCACCTCCCCAATTCCTAGTAAGAAAGCCCCTCCCACAGCCCCCAGAATAACCAGCAACTTGCCATTCATGGGCATCTCGTCTATCTGGGTGGAGTAGTACTGTTCTATGTCCCTGAGGATGCGGATGTCATCATTCTTCACAAAATTGATGGCCACACCTTTGCGGCCGTATCGACCTGATCTCCCGATCCTTTAGAATAAAATAGGTGTTAGTAAACAGCCACATGGATGAAGGCCAACAGTCTTGAGCAAAGGAAGGAGCACACACCTGTGAATGTACAGTTCTCTGTTGTTGGGCAGGTCGTAGTTAATGATGAGGGACACCTGAGGGACATCCAGGCCCCGAGCCCAGACATCTGTAGAAATGAGCACTCGGCTGCAAAAAGAAAAGTCAGAAAGGTGAGAGCAGAGTGGCCTCTGGCAGTTTTAAGCTCTGGCCAAGGGCCCTGAGCAATCACATCACCCACAGGTCACCGGGAAACAATTACTTAAAACGTGGGTCCAGCCCCTGCGGGAAAATATGACCTTTGCTTAGCAAAAATTCTATTATGAACAGGAACCTACTAATGACATTTTTAAATCTTAAGTTGAATCCATACCACAGCAGCTACTCTGCCCAAGTGGTGCCACCTGCCCCCCAGAGGCCAGGCATACATTCTAGCACACCTGGAACATGTTTGATCCTAACCGACATGATAGGTGTGCAAGGACACAAACACATAAAGACCACATTACTGAGGCAGCGCAATACTAACAGACTGTTAATAAGAACCCACTGATCGCTGGGTGATGGTGGTGCACGCCTTTAATCCCAGCACTGGGAGGCAGAGGCACGCGGATCTCTGTGAGTTCAAGACCAGCCTGGTCTACAAGAGCTAGTTCCAGAACAGGCTCCAAAGCCACAGAGAAACCCTGTCTCGAAAAACCAAAAAAAAAAAACCACCGATCCCTCACCTACTGACAGGGTTACTAGAAAGAAGATGGACTCCTGTTTCCACTGCACAGGAAAGCTCCAGAGCAGGTGGGTGTGGCTTCACTGCCTTGCGCTACACAACTGAGCCAGGAGGAAGGGGAAGGCCAGAGCAGCGTGAGGCAAGCAGGCCAGAGACTAGATAGTCTACAGATGACAACAGGACAGAGGTGAGGAAAGAGATGACAATACGTCTAAATCTAAATAAATTCTATCCTGCCAGGCACTCAGGAGGCAGAGGCTCTAGCTTAGTCTACAGGCTCCAAAAAGCTACAGAGAAACCCTGTCTCGAAAAAACAAACAAACAAATCTATCCTATAAAGCAAAATGCCACTGTAGATTAAAAGTTACATTAATCTCTCAGTGCTAAAACCATAGAATTACATGTGTTGTGTGCGTGCACATGTGTACACACAAGCACATATGTTTTAACATGCATGAATGCTAGGCTGGGGGCTAAACAAATCCAGATCCTTGTACTGTCTGGAAAGACAGGGAAAGGAGCTATCAGTAACAGATATTAGAATAGAGATGGTCATCGGGCAGTGGCGGGGCCCACCTTTAATCCCAGCACTTGGGAAGCAGAGGCAGATAGATGTCTGCATGTTCGAAGCCAGCCTGGTGTACAGAACTAGTTTCAGGACAGCCGGGACTGTTACACAGAGAAACCCTGTCTCGAAAAACAACAAAAAAACCCACAAGCAAACAAGGTATGGTATCATCTCCAAGGTAGCTACTAAATGACATAAATTTAAAAAAAGAAAAGAAAAAAATACAACCTTCAAAGAGAAAGAAAAGTTCAAAAAAATTAAAAAAGAAAAAAGGAACGAGAGGGAAAATTCACTTACAAGCTGATTAATTTAGATGAGTATACTCTAAATAGCCAACTTCAAACAGTGACTGGCTGAAGTCCTATACTCAAGAAATGAAGCAGGGGTCCCAAGTTCAATGCCAGCCTGAACTGCATAGACAGAGCTGCTATGGGACAATGGTCTGTACCCTGTCATTTAGAGTGTATTGTTTTAATAAAACGCTGATTGGTCAGTAGCCAGGCAGGAAGTATATAAGAGGGGCGACAAGAACAGGAGAATTTTGTGAACAGGAAAGCTCAGTCTGCAGCTGTCACCCAGATGCAGAGGAAGCAAGATGAGAACACCTCACTGATAAACGTACCAAGCCACATGGCTAACACAGGCAAGAATTATGGGCTAATTTAAGATGTAAGAAAGAGTTAATAAGAAGCCTGAGCTAACAGGTCAACCAGTTTATGATTAATGTAAGACCTCTGTGTGTTTCTTTGGGACTGAACAGCTGCGGGACCGGGCAGGATAGAAGACCTCTGTCAACAAAGAGCCTGTCGCAAAATCTGAAAACCAAACACCAGAGAGGGGAGGCAACAATTGTCACACTAGTGACAAACCAAAAAAAAAAAAAAACCCAACCCCAACTTGTTTCAAAGAAACAAGAAATACAAAAACAAGATAAAGGTCCCCTCCAGAAATGCTGAGGGAAAGGCCAGCACAGGCTTCAGGATCCCAAAGGGGGACTTGTACATCCCTATGTGAGCCGAGGACAGATGCCAATGCCTCCAGTGCTCAGTAATTTATTTAGTTAGTAAAGGAGCCTGCTGCCAAGCCCAACAACCTGAGTTCAATCCCTGGAACCGACATGGTGGAAAGAGAAAACTGACTTCCACAAATTAGTTCCTGACTCTGTACACACTTTATTAACAACACAGGCTACCCTACACACACAGGGACAATAAACAGTAATAAAAAGAACACAAGGATGACAAAGAGAACTGAACGCCAGAGGGAAGGCTGCTGACAAGCTGGGGACTATCAGCAGCTCCAGTCTAGCTGGAATATCCCGCTCGAGGACACACACAGCCGCAGACATGACCCAAAGGATCACAAAGCAGACCTGAATCAAAGGCACAAGCTCACTCACAGGTCTGCTCTCTGAGCACTGACAGACCCAACACCTGGTCACCAGAGAACAGAGAACAAACACAAGGGTTCCCGCCAGTCCACCACTAAGCCAACAGCCCCCACAGGGCAGCGTCCACTCAGAGAGCTCCATCATTTCCCACACCTGGAGCGGGAAACGACATGAAAGCCCCGAGGACACTACCATCTGTCCTTCCACAGGAGCCAAAGCTGCCAAAGGCCTACCTGGCACCTGATCGGAACTCCTTCATGATGGACTCGCGCTCCTTCTGGGGCATGTCCCCGTGCATGGACGACACAGTGAAGTTCGCTTCTCTCATCTTCTCTGTCAGCCAGTCAACCTACAATCAGACAAGAATGTGCTCATTCACCCAGCTGAGATCCACCTACAAAATGGAAGCCCTCAGCAGCAGACACGCAGACAGCTGCACAGGGAGCTCACCCACCCTCCGCAGGGATGGGCACACCTGAGAATTCTTTAGGGCAACACTACCACGGACTACCCACAGGCCATCGCTTCAACCTACTGAGCTTAAACCAAAGACATCAAAATTATTACAGAAAAACACAATGTCAGCACCTATTTTTACACCTTAAAAGATGGGTCTTGTTACGGTTCCTGGACTCCGGAAATTTTCCTACCTCAGCTTCCCCAGCAGCCCTCGCACTTGGCCTAGTCTCACGGTTTCTGTCTTATCATACTGTCTATAGCTGCATTAGCACAGGAACCCAGAGT